CTATCTATCTATCTATCTATCTATCTATCTATCTATCTATCTATCTATCATCTGTCAGCTATCACTTGCTTTCCCCTTTAGGATCCATGATACTTTCAAAGAAACAATAATTCACAGGAATTCACACCATAGCTAGGTGAGACTTTGTGACCCACAAGATGCTTTGTTTCCTCCCAGGGATTTCTTACGAATGCAGGAGCCTCCTGCCAATGTTTGGTATAAAGCACTTCTAGGAGTGTCATGCCACCCTTGGTACCAGCCCACAGTTCAAACATGAGAGGAAATGAATCATCATTCCTCTTTTACTAACCTGGTTAATAGGAATAAGAAGCTCACATATCTCTCTAGTAAGAACTGGGTCATAAGACCAGACCATCTTAGTCTGTTCAGGGGGCTATAGCAGCATCCTTACACTGGATAGTGTATAGGGAACCAGTATGCATTGCTCATACTTCTTGAGACTGAGGAATCCAAGATGATTTTGTTGTCTGGTTTTTGTTTGTTGGTTGGTTGGTTTGTTGGCTGGTAAGGGATTGCTCTTTGCTCAACAAATGACAGCTTATTACTTCCCCAAAGCATGGCAGAATGGAACAGGGAGCTTGTTTAAGACTTTCACAAAGGCAAAGATCTCATTCATGAGTGCAAGAGCTCTTGCGACAGTCATTTTCCATAGATTTCTCTTTCTTTATACTGTCACACTGGGTACTAGGTTCCAAGTTTGCCTTTTGGGGGAACACGAAAGTTCAGGCTGTAGCATTAGTGTCCCTCAGCTGCTGAGTCAAGTTCTTCAGTGGAATGGAATCCTGTCTAGCAATCAGCAGAGTGAGTTATTGCGCCCAGGAAAATATAAGTGAGACTCTAACTTTTCTGAGTGGAAGAGGCCAGCTGAAAACTGCAGAATGGCATGATGGCTAATCTTTGCCGCCAGCCTCGTGGGAGTTAGGGTAGCCTGGGACGTAAGCGTCTGGGCACGTCTGTGAGAGCGTCTGCAGAGATGCTGGACTGAGCTGGGGAGACCCACACTGAACGTGGGGGCACCACTTAATTTAGTCCTGGAAAGTGAGCGAGCACCAACATTCATCTCTTTCTGACTGCAGATACTGCCATCATTTCCTGGCTGTGATGAACTCTACCTTCAGATTGGGAGGCAAGATAAACCGTTCCCTACTTACGTCCTCAGTGTAAAGATGGGTAAAGAAGTAGAGCAACCATGAGATCCAGCTGTTCTGTTCCTGTGGACACACCCAAAGGACTTCGGGTCCTCTGTATCCCTAGGGATGCTTGGCCATTCATGTTTATCACTTCTTTGGTCATGGTATGACCAAATGGTATGACCAAATTCCAAGAAATGGAATGAGCCTAGATGTCTGTCAGCAGATTAATTAAATTGTGATCTATACAATCTATACAACATAAATTCATTTGCTATAAAGAAAAATTAATTTATGAAATTATAAGAAAGTGGATGGATCTTGAAAATATTATTTTAAGTGAGGCAACTCAGATTTAAAAAGACAAGTCATATGTACTTTCCCAAATGCAAATCTTAGTTTTGAGAGAGTGTGTGCGTGAGTCTGTATAGAGTGAGTGTGTGTGTGCAGTGATATAACCAGAGAGTGTGTAATAAAGTGTCTGTGACATAAAAATGGATAAGGGATGTGATGGGTGGAAGAACAAGGGGTGGCAGGAGGTTAAAGAAGAAAAGGCAGAAGGGTCAACAGAAAGAAATTATGTTTTAAAATCCCACCATGACACCTAATACTTTAAAAAATTAATGATGTGTCCTAATGAGTTCTGGAAATTGAACTTGGGTCCTCTAGAAGAGCAACAAATGCTCTCAACCATTGCACCATCCCTTCACCCACCTTCTTATGACTGAATAGATGGATAGAGCTGGCACAAACGATTTAGTGGGTGTAGAGAACTGTTATAATCGGGCACAAACAATTTAGCGGGTGTAGAGAACTGCTATAATCATTGAACCATAATTTGTGAAAATCCAGGATTCTAAAAATCAACACTTTGTTTTAATCAGATGTTTGCTATGTTGTCCAGGCTAGCCTTAGACTCATGGAGATCCTCCTGCCTCAACAACCCTTGTAATACTGAAATTAAGGTGTATTCCACCTTGCCCAGCTAAAATCAATATGTTTTGGATGGAATGTTCAAATCCACCATTTTAGCCAGTAAATACGAGCAAGTATTTGAATAGTGGGAAGTCATCTGCCCTTTGCCTGAAGTGGGAAAAGGACACAGCATCATGGTTTTGTGACCATCTGCACAGCACACCAAAGGACAAATCCTCCTGTGTCTGTGTACATGACTGCAGAAACCAGAGAATTATTACCGTAGCTGAGGATGACCTTCAACTCCTAGTCCCCCACACTCTACTTCCCAAGTGCTGGAATGCATGAACCACCATGTTTGGTTTATGCATCACTGGGGATTGAACCCAGGCTTCGCTCCTTCTAGACATGAACCTTACCAACTGAGCTACATCTCCAGAACAGACACCTTACTAAGAAAGAATCCTCTTGAACACACAGTCAGGCTGTGTTAGTACATAAGCCATGAAAGTACATCCAGCCTGGGAGAGGATATTTGAGCTAAGGCTAGACCAGTCAGAGGGGATCACTAATTTTTCTGCCTGGGAAGACACTGGTGGGCGGGAGAAGGGACCACTAATCTGCTGTCAGCACCCATCATGACATCACTCTCCCCGGAAGATTTCTTCATTCCCTGCACTTCTTTCCCTCCCACATCCATTCTAGCTTTGAGGTGATCCAATGGTGATTTGCTAAGATGGTGTGGTTTCAAGTTCCAGAAACCAAATCTGCAAGTATTGTGAACGGAAAGGGGATTTACTGGAAGGAAGCCCTGCCATTCCAGGGCGTGACTCTGAAAAGGGCGGGGCCATTGGCGATCGTAGATCCTTTCTTCAGCATGAAGTCCTTCGTGTCACTTGGGTGTTGCACAAGGCCAGCTTCCTGTGCAGCGTGCTTGGGTCACTTGTGTGCCTATGTGCTGCTGGTCAAGGCACGGGGCACAGTGGTGGGGAGGGTGGAGGAGACAGCAAGTACTAGACTTTACTCTTTCCCTGGGACCCTTGGCGTGCTCACGCAGTTTGGCTCTCCTTTTATTTAGCCAACTCTCAAATCACCCTGCCTCTTCTGGCTTTGAATGCCTCCCTCAGTACACCTTGTCTATATCTGTGGACACAGACTTCACAGAGATGAGCCCCTCCCACCTTGAGTACCCCTAGTCTATACCTGTGGACACCCACTTCACAGGGATGCGCCCCCTTCTTCCTTAAGTACCCCTAGTCTATACCTGTGGATGCCCACTTCACAGAAATGCACCCCTCCTGCCTTGAATACTCCTTGTCTATACCTGTGGATACCCACGTCACAGGGATGCACCCCTTCCTCCTTGAGTACCCTTGTCTGTACCTGTGGACACCCACTTCACAGGGTCAGCTTTTCTTTCATTGCTTCTGCTTTGGCCTCAGAGTGTAGCTCCTTCGGTGTGACTGAGGATATGAGTGAGGTCAAATGCCCCGCTACTCAGGGAACTGCCAAGCTTGAGGGAGGAGGCCCTGGTTCTGGCTGGAGCCTTTGTTTTGAACCTGAAGAAGGATAGGAGGAAAAGTCTCCTGGGTAGCTAAGCCACTCAGAGGCACAGGTCGGGCGCAGACAGCTGGTAGGTCAAGACAGTGGAGTAACCAGAGATTGTTATGGAGGCTGAGCAGTTCTCCAGGCTCCAGGGGTTTCTCTGTCTTCCTGGGTAATGAGGCTCCCCTAAAACTATCAGTGGGTGAGAAGTGGGAGGGACCATGGGGCCCAGCTTGCAGGCAGATGTTGGTGTCTCTGTGGTTCCCCTTGCCCGATCTGTACATGAAACAAACCCCAGGGTTTCCCAGCCATGCTATCTGTCCTGAGAGTGGCTTCTTCTCACACCCTTCCTGACTCTGGCTCCTTGGAAAATATCCAGAATACTGTTATTGTTTATTTACTTACTTATTTATCCAAGATGGGTTCTTTTCTCTGTCGTCCAGACCTGGCCTTGACTCTCTCAGCTCAGGTGATCCTCCTGCTTCATCTTCCCAAGTAGCTGAGACTACAGACACAGAGATGCATTAGACCAAATTGATTTTAAAGCATTCTCTCTCTCTCTCAACATAACTTGCAATCACTGTAGAAAGTCTGAGTACGAAGGAACCCCGGCTAAGTCATTCAACGTCATACTTAGATACCGCGGTCAGGTGCCGTTGTCTCTCACTACCTAATGATTCTGCAACCTCTTTCCAGCCACTGTGACTGCACCTAATGCATGGCTTTGCGTCCCATCCCCTAAGGACTTGATACCTGGATCACAATACATGTCCTTCTGCAGCCTTAGGACGGGTCCCAACATGGCATCTAATTGCCACCCGGAAGTCCTCTTTCCTACCTCTGCCTTGCTGCTGCCCTTCCTGAACCACTGGGCTCCTCTCTCATGTTGGATCTGGCCTCACACCCAGCTCTGCTTACCTTCTGGTTTTGCTTGTGTTCACTAGGAGCAGAATTTCTTCTCAGAGGCTCTGGCCCCGTGTGGAGTCCATGCTGTTCTGTCTGCCCCAAGGCCCTCGCTGGGGCTTGCTGTCTGAGGCCCTTCTCCTTGTGGACGCCTGCCTTCTCAGGGATGTATTCACTGGTGCCTACGGCGGAGTCTCTCACAGCCCCTCTGATAGGTCACTTTCAGTGACTCTGCACAGGGCCGCCAGGCCTCCTCACGCCATGGTCAGCTGATTGCCCTTCTGAACCTTTCCTGTCTGGCCCAGCTTCAGCCTGTCTGTCCATCACAAATCCATAGCTTCTTAGTCCTGCAAGCTTGTGCTCTAACCTTTCTGGAACCAAAGCCCTGACACTGGAACTCACAGGGAACACAGGGTAGGGTATCCCCATTGGCGCAGGCCCTGGTAAGCCAGCCTCTGACCCCGACCCGGCACAGGCTTTGACTGCACCTGTGCCTGAGGGATTCTTTCTCCGCTGAGTTCTTCATTCCCAGGCCAGTTAGTGATGACCACCCTTGGGCTCAAACGTTCTTTCCTTCCGCTATTGTGAGATCCATAGTGCATTTTACCTCAACTTTCCCCTCAAATGTTCTGCTCTGGCTCCCCATGTCCTCCCTGCCATTTCTGTCCGGGTCTCACTCCAGCCTCCGCAGTCACCTCCCTGCCTCGCTGTGGGGACCTCACTCACTTCAGTACCCTGCACTTCCCTCCATACAGGTGGTTCCCTCAGCTTGAGGGTCCTCTCTCTCTTTGGTACTCCCATTTAACACCCTGCCTACCAGGGTGAATTGTGGGTGTCACCCTGACATCAATTCTCCCCAGAAATGTCCTTCTAAGTCCTGCGCCTATTTTCTGTGATGAAACAGGTTACTATATGTAATTATTTTGTTAACTCTTCTCCACAGAAGACAGTGAATTAAGCTGAATCAACTGTTAGCGGGCCTTTCCCAGAACCTCCGATGGGGAGGTCCAGGAGGCAGGAGTCTGAGACAGCTGGTCACATTGCATCTCCAGTCAGGAAGCAGAGAGAGGTGAATACCAAGCTAGTGTCCAGCTAGCTTCCTCCGTTTTGTATGGTACATGATCCCCACTCCTAGTCACGGATGGACTGTGAGCCAGAGCAAAGCCTGCACATTCTTAAGTCACTTCTGCCAGAGACTTTTATCCCAGCAGGAAAACTAACTGAAGTAACCACAAGTGAGATATTTCTGACATTTGCCCCCAAAGTGCTTGAACTCCCATGTACTCTTAACTGAGCTTCTTAGGCAGCAAACATGAGGAAGGGGTGGAGTCAGCCAAGCCACACCCCCTGAGGGCCCTGCATAATTACTTTATTAGCTCCCATCCCCGATCTTTAGCCGTTATGGAGCAGGCAGAGATGGCTGGAGTCTGGCCATGTCACAGCTCATTAGTTCCACTTCCACTTTTCGCTAACATCTGAGAATTATACTCTAGGCACAGTGAAAACAAGAGGCTGGTGTTGAGAGAGGAGACGTGTGCAGGGGTCTTTCCCTGTTGTCTGTGACGGCACACCCCACTCAATGAAGAAGACTAAAACCCAATGTTCAGACCCTGCCCAGACTGGCTGAATTATAACTTGTATGATCTTTGTGGGGGGGGGAGGACTGCTTTAAAAAGTCCTTTCAGTGGGGCTGGAGATAAGGCTCAGTGGTTAAGAGCACTGACTGTTCTCCCAGAGGACCCAGGTTCAATTCCCAACACCCACATACTAGTTTCTAACCACCTGTAACTTCAGTCCTGGGCAATCAAAAGTCTTCTTCTAGCCTCCAAAGGCACAGGCACATAAGCATGCGCAGATGCACACATAAATACAAGAAGGTACTTTTGGGGTGGATACGTTATCTTTAACACCCTAGTCAACCAACCAATCACCCACAGGCTCCTTTAGGAGCATCTCACCTCAGTTATAACGAGGCTTAAGAAGTTTGCCTAGGGAGGGAGGCAGGACTGTTAACATTGCTCAGGAGCCCTAGCAAGGGCAGCAACCTCAGCTGTCTGCTCACTGTTGTGTCCTAAGTCACCATGACAGGTCCCGACACACAGCACACACTACACAAGTGTTTGCTGACTAAGTCAGTGGCAAAGTCTGCAGGTCAGCTGTGCTCTCTCCCATGCTGCAGACACACTCCCCACACTCTTCCCTGTGTGTGCAGCTTCCCCCACTACATAGTGGGATAGCATCACAATTCATAGGCTATGTTTTTGTGTGGATGTTTCTTCGTTTTGAAAGTGCTTCATTTTGATGGTGTATTATGGCTTTTTTAAACAATTGAAAACAGTGATGTTTTATAAAAAGATTTTAATGAATTTACAATAGGTAAATAAATTAACCACAAAAGAAAAAACAAACCGCTCACATTTTCATTTCTCTCCCCCACCCCCACCAAAAATGAGCCAATGGTTCCTAAGGCTGATGTGAAAATTTTCTTGATATCAAGGGTAAAGCTTGGCCTTTGAAAAATCTGGACTCCTGTAAGACACAGATACACAATATATGAATTAATGAAGAACAGTCATGTATTGAAGAAAGCTAAGATAGTAGCCAGGTAATGTGATTTCCCATGAATCCCACTTCTCAGAAACTGGCTTTTAGCCAAGAGTTCAATACAAGTAGACACGGGGATACACTCCAGCAGAAAGAAACACACAATGCTTCCTTTGTCTAAAGGTTAAATGGATGTTAGCACAGCAGACTCAACCTGCCGTGGTGACACATGTCTGTAAAGCCAGGGTCTGGGAGACTGAGGCGTGAGGATCATGAGGTCTAGGCCAACTGGGCTATATAACAAGACCCCTCCTGAAAAGCCAAATCTGGAAACAAAAAGGTGACTTATATATTATGAATGACTAATATTGAAGCAGTTCTGATGAGGTAATGAATGGACCTTCTAAAATTATTGTACACTTTATGATAGTTCATATTAACATTCCATGCATTATGGTTTTGTTAGGGATAATATTACAGCAGGTACACACAAGAAGTGAAAAAATGCTAGAAATAAATTTACATATCGATGAGTCCTTTACATGACGTACTAGTCCATCACACATAAGTTGCAAATTCTAAGCTTTTTTCCTTAAAGGGAATAAGGTTGGTTTGTCTGTCTGCCTGTCTGTCTACCTTATTTATATAGTGACCAGAAGTAGGTGAGTCATTCAGGTAAACTTTGTTGCCTTTATTGATTGAAAACCCGACAGCTCAGACCCCAGGTGGTTTGAAGTGAGGGGGTAGGGGAGGATAGCTGGACAGAGAAAGAGACTTATGTGCCAATGTGGGGACTTCGTCTGGATCTCTGGCTTTTACCTAGGAACCAAGTGAGCCGTGCAGTGCTGTGGAGGCGGAGCCCCAGGGCCCCAGGGTGAGCTGGTGAGCTAGAGCGGCTGCTGTGTCTGGGTTCAGTGAGACCCTGCCTCCACTCCTGATGGAGTGGAGATCAATCAAGGAAAATTCTCAGTGTCTACTTCTGGTCTCCACAGGCACATACATACATGTGCGCATACAGACACACATGCATATATGAACATCCACATGTTTGGAATGATAAATGTTCATTAGAGCCAAGGACATTTTATTTAAAAATACTACACAAACAAACAAAAGCCACATTTCTTTTCTTTTTTCTTTTGAGACAAGTCTCACTATATAGCTCTGGCTGTCCTGGAACTCACCATGTAGACCAGGCTGACCTCGAACTCTTGTCCCACCAATAGCCACACTTCTGGACAAGCTGCTCTCTTGACATCCTGGGAAGTCTATGTGTGTAAGCTCCTGCTCCATTTCTTCACTAACATGGAGATAATAAGTCCCGTGTGAAACACGTGAACATAGTTGCTTCTAATTGTCAAACGTGGTCCACCTGACATTCTGTTCTGTCTGCATATGGTCCACAAAGTAGCATTGTGGGGAATCTGGAAATCCATGACTCAGATGTCACTTGTAAGCATGAGCAAAACTAACATTACACAATTTCTCTAGACAAATTTCTTGTCTCCCTAGTTTACATAGATGGTTATTGTAGAGTTGATCATTGTTGCCCAGCTCAGTAGGGAAGGGCTGGAGCCAGCTGTAAGGTGGGCACTCTGGCCTTACCTCCGAGTAGTTAGTTCTGTGAGCTCCGGCCAATGATAGCCTCAGTTTCCCTTGTGTATACAGGGGGATGATGGGATATCCCTCTACCCTCACAAATGCACTATCCACGTATGGGCACTTGGGAGGCCACAGTGAGAACTGAGCAGACCTTCTGTCCACATTTGTCAAAGCCTCCCACATTTCTTTGCACACACAAACGCTTGACTGTTACTGCAGGTGGCCCACTGCCTTCGGATACAATGTGCCCAGTGGGCTTCCTCTCCTGCCACCATGCCTTTCCCACTATAATGGAATGTATCTCTTAAACTGTAACCCAGATTAATCCCTTCCGTTTTTTAAAATGCTTCTTTAGATATCCTGACATAGAAATGAGGAAGGAAGCCAACATGGAGTCTGTCTGGATAATCTAGGGTCCCCTTTCCGTTCCAAAGCTGTAACAATATCTCTTTACAAAGTCTCCTCTGCCATGAGCGCTCAGTCACAGATTCCAGGGATCACAGCAGATGACTCTGAGGGACACTGTCATTTTACCAACCATAGCCATTTCTTCTTTGCGGGAACTGTGGGCATAAAAACAAAGTGACAACTCTATCCTAAATGACAGATTAAATAGAGTATGTGCTAAATAAACCAAAAACCAGCCACTAAGGACTTCTTGATGAAACTGACATGCACTCACGGAAACTATAACTTTCCGCTCATATTCTGTCAGAATATCATTTTGGATCTCAAAAGGTGACACATGATACAGATGATTTCTTCTATGAAATATTTATATGTATGGGACATATATGTCTATATAATTTTTATATTTATAAATTTTATTATATTTTTATTCATAAACCACATGTCTCATGTGATTTCTAAACATAAATATTTATATATCTCCTTTATAAAATCTGACTTTTATGTGTTTGGTTTATAGTTTATCATTAAAACATGGCCTAAAGGAACCCTGACGGATTCCTTAAGAGCAGAGTCCTACCTGCCAGTTCACTGCCTTGGTCCCTGCTTGTTGTGGAATATTCCTTTACACTGTGTGA